CGTATAAAAGATCGAAATTATTTGGACAAGAGGAAGCAGGAAAAAGTTGGAAGGACTTGTTTCTAATCCATTTATTCATTTGTAACAATAATTTGAACGTTGTTTTCGATACAGAAACAGGGAAAATTTTAGATTAATTGGAAAGGGATTTCGCAATTTATCGGAATGGTTTAATTAGTAAACAGAACTCATCAAAACATTCTAGCCCTAAATGTAAGTTTCTTTGGAGTAATATGGAAAACAGTAGAGTACACTTCAAAAAAATATTCTTTAGAAAAATAAATTTGTTAAAAAATCACTCGTCACTGTCCATTATTATATATTTAACAGTATTTGCTGGAACCCCCCACTCCCCATTTTTTTGCAAAATGTTCGAATTTTTTTCTCCAAATACCTTGATATCTGCAGGGATTTTGTAAAGGTAGAGTCTGCGAAAATTCTATGATTATTTTCCATGTAAATGTATCAAAAGATTAAGCATGAGGAATTTTTCGTTATTATCACACGTTACCATTGTGTAAAATACACACTTTCGATTTCATTTGCACATTATGGTTTTTATGGTTTATAAAAAGAGTAGAGCTACACTGATATTGCTGATATGTGGGTCACTATCATAATTGAAATACATGTACAGGTGTTCATTTATCCTTGTTTTATTGTCTCACAATCAGCACAAGATTGATTTTAATCAACAAAAGCTTGCTTAAAATATTTTACTCGGAGAAGCAATAAGAGTTGTCCGTACATATTTTTTTCAATTTTCTTTATGATTTTTTTTTTCGTGAAAAGAGGAGCTGCCAAACCAGTCCCCACCCCCCTTCTCACTGAGGAAAAAATAAGAGGAGTAGGAAAGTCTTTAACAATTTTCAATTTCTAGATTGATTTCTATTCATTAACAATAAAGAAAGTTAAATTCAAGACAACCTAAGAGAATAAAATAAAAATAACTACATTAGATGAAAATTTTGTTGCCATTAGTTTGTAACACCCCCCCCCCTCTTTTTTTCAATCTCAACTGGAAGTCTTGGATCTACCATTCTACATATCATGATACTAATAGTTTATACTGAGGGAGGAGGTACATGTACAAGTGTACTAACCAGACAATAGATTTAAAAAAAAAAGTAAAAATTATTATCCAAAAAAAAAAAAAATCTACTTCGTTGGGTTTAAAAAAATCTAGCTATAAACAACTTACGGCCATACGCTTTAAAGAACATATTCCCTTTTTATTGATTTGTTTTTTAAAACACATTCTAAGATCTCGATCTCTCTCTCCATGTGTTTTCACATCGCTGAATTCTTAGATAAAACCGTATACTAATAAAGTTGCAATGAAGAGATGATGACGGATAAAAACTTTGGGTAAATTATATGTATTGTACTTATTTATTTAATTTATGTTTTGTCTAAATAGATCTATAATCACTACCCTTTCACTGACCGACGATCTGAAGCATAACTATACTAATAATTAAATTGTGTTAGTTACAATGAAATATTTGGAGCACAGTACAAAAAATGCATAAACATTTTATACTGATGTCTAAGATATACGACATGCATTTAATGCAATTTTACTCACTGGGGGTATATTTGAATTATGTTTCACAAAGGATGACAAGATAGGGTATATGTTTTATGTACATATGCATCAATAGCCTCACTTCGATTTTAATAAATACAGACATATTAAAAATATACCGATATATTCTTTTGTTTTTGATCACAGGCGCGGGATCGTCATGTGCAAGTGTTTTAACGAAACCCGATATCGGTGCTCACACAACTGTATACTATAACTATACATTAGTTTGTATCAGCATGTATAAGCCATCGATATAACTGAATTTTGTAAATTCGTTGAGATGATTCTTCTGCATGTATATAAAAAAGGTGCAGAAATTAGATGATTATCTTAATGCGTATTTTTTTCATTCCTTTTTTTCATTTTTTTAAAATTTTCACTTTGGACAGCAACCCAGATCATTATTATTTCGCTTGTTTTAAAAGGTATAGCGTGATATCTTTGCTACATTCTCTATTAATTTGTTTACAATTTAAGTCATGCCTGATAACACTATTAACAACAGTATTTTGAATTATTTCAGGGAGGGGAGGGGGAGGGGTAGTAAAGAAAGACACCGTGGCGGGAATTTCTGATAACTTATAATTTGATGGTATCATCCAGTTGGGTTTACATGTAATTAAATCATATACATGTAAATACATGTAGGGGCACTATCTTAGAGCGTTAAAAGCTTTTCAGCAACATCCCAAATAATTTACAGCCTTTATGACGTCACAACTGACGTATTACTAGTAACGTCATACATAATGACCTAGTCATAGTAAAAACCACAAAGTTTTTCCAGACTTTTATTTCAGAAAATGTATGTAGTTGACTATTTTTCACATTTAGCGTTTTAAATGAACAATTTACTGATTTTCTAGCATATTTTGTGAAATTTATATATTTTTTATTATTACATGAATTGAATGTAAACGATTGATCTACATATTAAGGATTATTTGATCCATCAAAATTTAAATATAAAATCAAATTTCATATTGGCCACAGCCACGAACAACAACGATATTAAACATAAAGATTTGTATCGGTAATATCTATATCTATGGGAAGTATAAAAGTTGTTCTTGACTGTGGCCACATCTAACTTTGGGAAAATCTGTCGAAAAAACGGCATTTTTTAACGTTTTTATGAAACCGTCGCATTTTCCAACCGTCGCACGTGTTTAATGGCGCATTATATAACGATATAAGTTATGTATGGAAAAGAAGAATGTTGTCCTCTAATATTTAACGTATAGTACTCTTCTTGAACCGAAACTTTATTTTTGTGAAAAACACAGGGCCAAATATGATGGTTCGTGGCTTTAGCTCTTTGCAAAATTTAATAAAATATTTTAGGACCGTCTTTTCCCGAGATACTTTCAAAGTGTAATGTGTATATTATAACTTTCTGAAATTATGTATATTATAAAACATAATAAAGAAAACGTAGAAAAGATACACAAAGAAAAAAATGAAAAGGCATAATTGGAAAAATATGGGGGCTCGAACTCACAAACACCACATTCACAGTCCAGCAATCATACCACTGCGCCAACGAAGTCATTGATGTCAAATGGATAAATTTAAGACAGATTGCTAAATCTTAAGATAATATGAGAAGAAAAATTGAATATATATTTTCATAATTTTCAATATGAAGACCACCTTTAACCAAAATTATCTAAATGTAATGAAGTGCAGTCATATCCAAATAGAAGTATTCAAAAGTTGTTTTTCTGGTTAAGGGTGGCCTTTGGCAACAGTTTGTCATCGTTAGGTGGATACCTCAACATTTACTATATACTCCATACAAACTGGATAATTTTCATATTTATCATATGAGGGACCAATTAACATAGAAATATCATTATTGTGTGATTTGGTTTTACGCATATATAGACTAAGATTGTATGACAAAATTTTGGTTAAGCCATGCATTTAAGAAATCACTGCTAATAAAGTAAGCGAAAATGCCTATCAAATGCGCTATGGCTCTTTGTCATATCCTCAACAATATTTCTCTGTATTTTTTGGAAATATTGCAATTTCAATTTTGAGGCTACAATAGTTTTTGGAATATGTTTTTTTTTTATTTGGACTGGAGGGCATCTTTTTCAGATGTAAAACAAAGATATTATTTACCATGATTTTGGATGATTTTTCTCTCCCTGTTTGTGTGAATCTATGTGGGGGGGGGGGGGGGAGAACCCTGGAACCCCCTTTCAAAAATTTCTGGACCCGCCCCTGAATATGCCGACGTGAAGCGTTGTAGTTCCTGTACCTCATGAGTTTTTAGAAATTAAATTCATTTCCTATATCTACATTATTTACCTGATGAGTTGCTACACAATATTCCATTTAACTGCCACTTTTAAAACATAACAGTTTGCACTAACTTGTATTTAAGCATAGAATTCTTATTTTTGAATGTCGTCGGTCCTATAACAACCTGGCCGTGCCGACAAATTGAATACAAAGTGATTATTTGTCGGCACGGCCAGGTGTCCTATAGGACCAACGACATCCAAAAATAAGAATTCTATGCTTATATTTACATTCTCTAATTTTTTCTCTTCATGATTGTTTATTTTGTTAATCTATAATATGAATTTAGCACCTTTCAGAACTGGTGTGCTTAATAGACGTAAAAGCCGTTTGTGACGTTGGAAAGTTAAATAACGCAAATGAACATTGCGAGAAAAAAAAATGACAAATTAATTTTAAACGCACAGTTGTATTTTACGTTAATTTAACAGGGTAGTTGTTTGTATTCCTAGATACTGAAAATGCATATAGTTCCTACTGTGTATACTACCGCGCGGTGACAAGGTTTCGCGTGTGTTATAGAGATTTGAACGTCGTAGATTTCTAATGGATTTCATAGAGAAAATTACATTGAATGTAAATATTGACAAATTCTTGGGGGAAAAATTATATATTATTGAGGAACGTATCATCTGACCTTAAACTCAGGGACATAAATCGCATAATATTAGAGTTTTTAATTTTTTTTTCATATTAGTACATGTACCTAAAATTAAGGACAAGAGGATAGACCCCCCTCCTTTACCAATATACACTATTATGGTATCAGTGTGACATGCTCCGTTATGCGGTCTTCTATGGTTGATATAATTAATGTGTTTGCAAATACAATCTATCGTTAAGTGGTATGTTGGCTGAAGTCACAACGCCGTTACTTTCACATTGAAATCTGCGAATTTTTCCCCTTTCCAGATCATGACAGAGTACATGGCGACTAGTCAACAGGGAATGCTCACTCCTCTATGGCACCTGATCCAACCTTTGTTTTCGGACACCCCCACACCCCGATCACTATTTATATATATCAACACATGGTAATTATGTATTTGCAATATTACATTTAACCAGGAGCTTTACTTTTAAAATCACAATCCAATAAGGAGAAAATAAACATTTAATTAGGTTGAATTGTACAATAATTTAACAAATAACAACAATAAATGTTTGTATAGAAATTTGCAAACTAGCAATAAAGGATGGCAAATCTTGCAACATATCACAACTTAGCAATAGGCACAATATAGTATATGATGTATATATAAATAGAAATGATGTAAACAATGCTACAATTAAACAAGTGCAATATAATGGCAAGTGTCTGAGAGACCCCGTTTCATATCCCCTCAAACACTTGATTTATGGCATTAATTAGCAGAACCCATATCTAGGTAAACTTGTGGAACAGACTAAAGAATGAACATAAAGTGAAATCAAGCATGAATAGATTTTTTAAACAGATGCTATAAAAAAATAAGACAACATCACAAGAACAGTCAACATGGGTATACATATATATACTAAACACTTCTACTATGGCAGTACTATAAGTCTAATGATTGAACACAGGAGGAATATAAAAAATGTTCTGGACATGATCTTTGTTAGCTGGTCAGATTTCATCATGGACTCTTGTTGACAAAATTATATAAAGGGAAATAATAACAAAAGAATTGGACATTTAGAAAAGAGTCCAATTTGACATGTCAGAAACACATTTAACAGAGGATCACACAGGTATGTGTATAATGGATTCCAATGAAGATGGTAGAGGTATGTCAGATGTCTGGATATCAGAAGTTTGGATGTCTGGATATCAGAAATTCAGATGTCTGGATATCAGATGTTTGGATGTCTGGATATCAGAAATTCAGATGTCTGGATATCAGAAGTTTGGATGTCTGGATATCAGAAATTCAGATGTCTGGATATCAGAAATTTGGATGTCTGGATATCAGAAGTTCAAATGTTTGGAAATCAGAAGTCTGAATATCAGTTCAGCTGTCTTTGGCAGGTGCTTGGAATTCATTGAGCCACCATCTAAAACATTTAAACCCAGACTGTGAGAATTTAACATAAACATTGAAATGAATGTTGCCACTTTGCTCACCTGAGCACTTTGGCTAGAGAAAAGCTGAATTTAGTTCAGTATTGAAAAGTTTAAATATATAAGTGGTCACAATGGGGGGGGGGGGGGGGACATGATTTGAACAAACTGGAATATACACTAACTGTGGATGCTTCTGTATTAACATGACTAATAATGGCTGTGTTGTTCCTAAAAAGAAGATTTTTTAAGATTTTTCCTATGTATATTCACTGTTGTGGCCCAAGCCCTACCCCAGGGGATCATGATTTGAACAAACTGGAATTTACTCTATGTAATGAAGCTTTCACATAAGTTTCAGCTTTTTTTGGCCCAGTGATTCTTGAGAAAAAGATTTTTAAAAGATGCCATTAATTTTTCACTCATTCTTAATTACACCCACTTGAAAGAAGGTGTGGCCCTTCATGTGAACAAAATCAAAATTCCCTCACCCAAGGAAGTTTTGTGGCAAGTTTTGTTGAAACTGGCCCAGTGGTTCTGGAGAAGAAGACGAAAATGTGAAAAGTTTACAGACATTACACAACAGACTGACAGACGGATGCCAAACTCTTTTTCAATCAGAAAAGCTTATTTGAGTCTCCTGCTCAGCTGAGCTAATAAAAATTGAAAAAATGTAAAATTTAATAACTAGTAATAAATGCTTCAATTTGATATGTCATAAAGGAACTCAATACAGAAATTCTGGCTTCGGGGCCACCAACGCTGAGATTTTCTCAAATCTGAGATTTCTCAGAAAATTTGAGTTTTTCTCACCGAACTGTGCCACCAATGAAATATTTTCTCAAACTCAGACTTATCTTTTGAGTTTTTTCTTAAATCTGAGATTTTTCTCAAGTCTAAGATTTCTCTGAAACGTGCGTGCCACCAACGTTTTTTCTGACTCAGCTGAGAAAAAAATCTGAGATTTCTCAGAAAATCTTGAGATTGGTACATAGTAGTCTCAAATAAAATCTCAGAATTATTTTATGGTAAAATGGTTGCAAATATTATGACAGTGCACACGTTAATACATGAATACATGAAATTAACGTGCAAACACAGAGAGCATGTTTATTTCTCCCAGAACAAGATCATACGTTTTTAAGAAAAAGGGGGGAGGGTTCTTACGCACATGTAAAAAATGTCATAATATTGCCCACGCATTGAAACAATGCACTTGAAACTATATCAAAAGAAAAAAATAAGGAATAAAACCAATATTCTTGTGAAACGTTTTACATAACATGTTTATCTTAATTCATGCAAGAATTATTTTCATTTATTAATTAAATTCATATTTTAGTGTGCTATTTATGGTTAGGCAAATTTATTAATTCACATTAAATATACATGTATATCAGAAAAGAAAATATTAGATACTATTAAATCTCCATAACGGCCTCTTCTTTATTTTTTCTCCGGTAGTTATTTTTTACTTGTACAGTATACGTAACTATTCGTGTAAATTATACGCAAATATTAAAAGAACATTGTCTAAAATTCTGTGTAAAAATATTGCTATACTTTCAAAATAATTTATAAATCACCATTTATTAATCACTGATGATAGCAATCTGTCTAATTTGGATCTTCGCTAAATCTATAAAATTCCTAATTGAGAATAGGGATCCAGGAATTCTTTTCAGTGTGTGTGTGTGTGTGGGGGGGGGGGGGGGTGTCCATCCAAGTCAAAAAAAAATCCAACCCAGAAATTTCTTGACAAGCAAAACTGCTTACCCAAAAATATCAAACCCAGAAAATTTCTTGAAAAGAAAAAAAAATCCGTTTCACAAACGTGAAAAAACTATTTTTGTGGTAGTGGTGGGGTCTTCGTATTCAAGGGGGGGGGGGGGGGGTGTCCAAAATCAACTTTTATTTGATTCAGTATATAATTTTATAATAACTCTGCAAATTACAGGTTGGGGGACGACCACCTCCGCCCTCTAGATCTGCGTATGGGGATCTGCTTTATACTCACTATGCATCGCACACAAAAATCCCTGACCGTTTATATTATTTGTAAGAATAAACCTGACTTTTTTTTAATACGACCAGTTACATTTTGAGATTTAAAAAAACAAGTATGGTCCTGAGTTTCAAATAGTACAACATGATTACGCCGTGAAACTTTTAAAAGAAATTAATCAGTTAATCGTCACTTGATAAGTGATTGTTAGATTGATTTAGGTGTCCAGTGTAACAACGAATATTGCTCACTCGTATATCTGAAATTAATTATTATTATATATATTATATCTGAAAAGAAGAATATTTTTCCTGTGACATTTTCTCATAGGGGATCGTGGAAAATGTGGTGTGTTATTTAGCCTCGTCCCTACATACATGTCCGTAGTTCAATTTCAGGTTTGTTGTTTCTTCGGGGGGAAGGGGTGTGTATACCTGAAATAACCTGACATTAAACAGTTTGTATCGAAATTTTCTTGATAAATTGGGTTCACGTAAAACTAAGCATACATGTATATTGAATTAAATTGTAATTATATTACTCGCCTTGGACATTTTTTCTGTCGCAACTTATGCACGAATTTTACGGAACACTCAAGAAAATTATCATGTGACAAAATTAGCATTTCGTCAGCTAGAAAAAAAATACCCGGTTTTTAATCACTGTTAATGCCGAGTTTGCAGTATTAAAATCATCATTTCGGCGGTAAAATCTATTTTCTTTGATCGCTTAAAATGATTTTTTAAAAAAATATTCTAAATAGGGACAAAAATTCCCTATATTTACAACATTTTTGCTATGGAGAGTAAAATGTAATAGATATATCTGACAGTGTACAAAACAAAATAAAAGAAAAAAATGTGTAATCGGACTGTAAATATATAGTCTTGATCCGCCTCTCTAGCCTACTCTTTAATCTTTCGGCACGCAACGTCACAATGGCGGAAGTGACGCCTCGGTGTATATTTTTGTGTGTTTATGTAGACAGACGAAGCAAGACTAAAAGGTTTGGATATGTTTTGTGTTATTCTTCTGTAGGGATTATTTTACGGGGACTCGGTGAATATTTATTGTCGAAAAGATCGTAATGGAATCCTTTCCGTTGAGTGACTCAAAACAGCAAATAAAAGACAAAGGAAGTGGAGAATGTGTATTTTCGCGATTATACACCAAAATATTGCATAAACAACTAACTGAAAGGTAAATTCAATCATTGATTCAACAGCTTCATGCATTATAAGAAAAAAGGTCGCATATAACAACAAGAATAAGTCTAAGATTTTTCTCAAATCTCTGCTTACGTGAGACGCATCTCAGAAATGTTGGTGGCACGGTGTTTTAGGAAAATCTCAGCTGAGGCAGAAATCTAAGATTTGAGGCTGAGATTTGAGCTGAGATTTTTATTTGTTGGTGGCCCCGAAGCCTGGTCTCTGAACAAAACTTGTGAGGCAGAAGGAGCAAAAATGATGCTCATTGGTGTTCCTATGATGTATATGCATCAGCATTTATTGTTTAATCAAAGTGTGAATTCACTGATCACTTACAACACAGAGATTTCCATTCTTGGCCTTCTTGACTGCTGATGTCTGACCTCGAGTGAACTCAATACACCCCTTCTTCCCACCAGATATACCATGTGTTATGCTAAAATAAAAATATCATGCTATGCTGAAATTTGCAATGTAAAATTGCTTGCTGATTTAATAATATTTATATATGAAATTTTCATTGCCAAAATAACCAGAAGTCTCTGATGAGGCTGTAGCTCTTTTTGTACTTATAAAGGAAGATAAAAGTAGCACTTGGATTTGAAACTTTGCAACAGCAATAAATAGAATAATGGTCCTTGGTTTAGTCTGTTTTGTGGCAAGATTTATTGCAATCAGAATAAAACTGTAGGAGGAGTAGCCTTTTAAAATAATTTTAAAGAAATTTCAATTTAAGTAACCATGGCAACATCATTCAATGAAATAAAACCAATAATGACAATTATGTATCTCAGTGTAGTCTACCTGAATGCCAAGTTATACTGAAATCAGACAAAACATGTAAGAGGAGTAGCGTTTTGAAATTATTTCAAAAAATTTCTATTTTTAGTAACCATGGCAACATCGTTCATCAAAATCCAAAACTGGTACAGAGAATTATGTATCTTAGTGTAGTCTACTTGTGTGTCAAGTTATACTAAAATCAGACCAAAACTGTAGGAGAAGTAGCATTTTGAAAGTATTTCAAGGAAATTTCTATTTCTAGTAACCAGGGCAACCCCTTCATCCAAATCAAAAACTGATACACAGAATTATGTATCTTTGTGTAGTCTACTTGTGTGTCAAGTTATATTGAAATGAGATCAAAACTGTAGGAGGAGTAGCATTTTGAAAGTATTTATCGAAATTTCTATTTTTAGTAACCATGGCAACACCGCTCATCAAAAACAGATATACAGAATTATGTATCTTAGTGTTGTCTACGTGTGTGCCAGGTTATATTGAAAAGAGATCAAAAATGTAGGAGGAGTAGCGTTTTGAAAGTTTTTCACAGCAAATTTCTAATTTTAGTAACCATGGCAACACCGTTCCTTGAAATCAGAAACTGATAAACAGAATTATGTATCTTAGTATAGTCTACTTGTGTGCCAAGTTATACTGATATCAGACCAAAACTGTAGGAGGAGTAGCATTTTGAAAGTATTTCAAGGAAATTTCTATTTTTAGTAACCATGGCAACAACGTTCATTGAAATCAAAAACAGATACACAGAATTATGTATCTTAGTGTAGTCTACTTGTGTGCCAAGTTATATTGAAAAGAGATCAAAAATGTAGGAGGAGTAGCATTTTGAAAGTTTTTCACAGAAATTTCTAATTTTAGTAACCATGGCAACACCGTTCCTTGAAATCAAAAACAGATACACAGAATTATGTATCTTAGTGTAGTCTACTTGTGTGCCAAGTTATATTGAAAAGAGATCAAAAATGTAGGAGGAGTAGCGTTTTGAAAGTTTTTCACAGAAATTTCTAATTTTAGTAACCATGGCAACACCGTTCCTTGAAATCAAAAACAGATACACGGAATTATGTATCTTAGTGTAGTCTACTTGTGTGCCAAGTTATATTGAAATCAGACTAAAACTGTAGGAAGAGTAGTGTTTTGAAAAATTGTTTACAGACGGACGGACAGACAGACGGACGGACGGACAGACGACGGACACCTTACTATCGCATAAGCTCTTCTGGTCTCTGACCAGTAGAGCTAAAAAACTGATTGGAACATTATAATTAATCTCTGTTAGTATTTATATCTGTCATTTCCTTCCAAAGTTCATAGTCCCCCTGTTCATGCATATATATAAAATTTTGATTAACACTAATGATTTTCAACAAGAAATGTAATCTATAATTAAAATGCACACAATTTCAGCATACCTTACAAAGCAAAATTTGACAAAAATGGTCTTCTGATAATTTTATAAAGATATGATATTTAATCCAGTAAGAGTTATCTCTCTTATAAGAGGGCCAAGGATCCTTCAGTTTGAGGAGTCTGGTTTTTTTATTTACCTCATTTCACAAATGTTCCCAAGGTACAGTATTTTTTTTATTTACCTTGTTTCACTAATGACCCTGAAGGCCTCGGACTTCTTCCCATGGATGACAATTTTTGTTACAAGTTCTATCACTCTATCAGAATGTAATATCAGGTCTCCCTGAAACAATAAAACCAAACCATTAAATCCATCCAAAAGCAGAAGAACTCTTCATTACATGTGACTAACGATTGTCTAAATGTTAGATAGTGAAGTGCACCTAAAATTGGAATCCACCTCCTTGTTACAATGTAGTACCTCCATAGAGGTGAATACAACTCACTATATTTAGGAAGTAAAACAAGAATTCCAATTGAACACTTATAGACAGGTTGTTTTGTGATACAAGTGTCCTTTAGATAATTATGTGATATTTTATGTTCACTTTTCCTGACATTTTTATGGAAACAATCTAAAGCATAGTTAAAATCAAAGTATTTCTAAAAAGATCACGATATATTTCACTAAAGTTGATATTTTGACTGTAAAAATTGTTGTTAAAATACTAACATATACAGAAATCAAAATTAAAATATTGGTGTTAAATATGGAAAAGGAACATACTGTAACAAAAACTATCGATAGCCAAAAGAAATTTTCGAACCAACAATTTCAAAAAGCTTTCTATAAGAATAAACGTTCAAGATTACTGCTGAAACATGCACTATATAAAAGGTACTGGTCAAATATTTTACATTTCATGCATACTTATATAAATCACTGAAGGTAAGAGAGGGTCAATTTATTGGGATTTTTTAAAAGATGGACTTAACCCTTCAGTTATCAAATTACCCGGTAGTGCCTCCTCAACCCCCCCCCCCCCCCCCCCTTCACCCCTTTCAAAAAAGGTGGTTGATTCAAGAAAAAAAGATAAACCCTGCCTAAGATCTGTGTGTATGTGCAGAACCTTAAGTTTTCATTAACAAGCATTTAATGAATGCTGAACAATGTCAAAGATAACTTTGCAAAGTAAAAGTAAAACCATAAATAAAGAGAAATGATTAAAAAACAGTAGCTTGTAAAAAGAGAAGACATATAATACATAAGTATAAATATTAGAAGCACCAACATGATGTACCTTGGAATCCAAAGTTTCATCTAAATTATCCTGTTAATTAAAAATAAACTACAGGTATTTATTATTTCCTATTGATTACATTCTATCTGGTGCCTTTTATCAGAATTAATTAGAATTTTATAATGAACACGAGTTAATTAGAATTTTATAATGAACACGAGTATTTTCAAAATAATGCCAGATTACGAGTCTTCCTTCCTCTCTCCACATAAAGCACCTGCTTGATTGTATTTGCTTCACATCTGTTTGAACATCACACAATTAACACAACAATTTCCTGGACTTAAATTCCATAGAAAGGTAAGAGAATCTATTGACGTAGAACTCGAGTTGACATAGAACTCAGCAAAAGTACCTAACATTACAAGTTTTTTTTTAACCACACCTACTATTATTATTCACTGTCGGACTCGGTACAGGCTTATTTTGATTGTGTGATATTTAATTTTTTTTTACATAAATTATTTTTTATTTAATAATTATACAATATAATTTTTTTCATAAACAAAGCATTTATTTTTCACCATAATAATTCAGCATCTATTCTAAGTGTAATTTATTATTGTATGCAGAAAAATACCTGAAGACTAGATAAAAAAAAATTTTTGTTTCCTGTATCCCAACCAACTCACTTTATTGACTACTGAAACATTTTAACAGAAATTGTTATGCCTTGGGAGGAAGGGGGCTTCTTTTACTCATTTTTTTTTTTCAAATTTGGATAAAATCTGATGGAGGGATGGGGTGGGGTAGAAAAAGAGTTAAAATAAAATTTCTTATTGATCCTGAATTGTTGAACATATGTAACATATGTTATAGGAAACAAACATATCTTTTTGTTTTGCCTGACAGACAGACAGACAAACAACTGTTCTCACCTTGCTGCCATTGTCGTCCATATTTATTGTGATCACAAACAGACCATCACTTAGACTGCTGGTTAGGAGACCTGGAATAAATAGTCATGTACTAAATAAACAATAGGTTAGAAAAATACAGACCATCACTTAGACGCTGGTTAGGAGACCTGGAATAAATAGTCATGTACTAAATAAACAATATGTCAGAAAAATACAAACCATCACTTAGACTGCTGGTTAGGAGGCCTGGAATAAATAGTCATGTACTAAATAAACAATAGGTCAGAAAAATACAGACTATCACTTAGACTGCTGGTTAGGAGGCCTGGAATAAATAAATAGTCATGTATTAAATAAACAATAGGTTAGAAAAATACAGACCATCACTTAGACGCTGGTTAGGAGGCCTGGAATAAATAGTCATGTACTAAATAAACAATATGTCAGAAAAATACAGACCATCACTTAGACTGCTGGTTAGGAGGCCTGGAATAAATACTCATGTAATAAATAAACAATGTAATAAAATACAGCAAAGTAATTCAAATCATTTCTATACTAAGGCAAATTTCCTAATGTCAGAACTGAACTGAGTATCAATGACATGTAAAATTATGTAGGTACATATACAGGGAAGTCCCTATTACATGTAGATAAAATCTGTAAATTACAAAAAACAAATCCAGGAACTAATATGTACAGAGAGGTCACTCAATTAATTCCATCTCACATCTCGACAAGGGTCTACTTTAATGAATATGAGAATGAATGACTTTAATTTGTTTAGCTATATACATGTAAATAAGTCAGTCTCTGCCCCTCCTGAGAGTACAGAAAGGTCATGGTCATACCTGTGATCTGCTGGAAAGGTAACTTGTCCTTTAATAAATCTGACTTCTCGTCCAGTAAATACAGGTGTTTGTCCGTTAATACTAATATCCTCTTCCTGGACTTGTAGCCATGGCGATCAAACTTAGTAACAGGAGCTGAATACTAGGAGACAAGAAGTAAGATATTTTTATTGTTGCTTTGTTAGTCTAGTCATTTAATACATGCAGCCAGGGCTGATCCTCATCATTGATAATCTTTTCTAATTAACATTGTTTGAAGCATACCTGGACTTTTTCATCAGGTTGTTTAATTTTAGTGTCAAATGTGGTACACAGCATCTCTTCTTGTGTGCTGTCTGGAAAAAAAATTCCACACTATATATCTGTTTCCATTAATTTTAAAAGAGAGTCAATTTTAGCTTTCCATTTTCAAGCAATTACTGTGTATATAAATGCCAATGGTCAAGATGAATGCAAGATAAGTTTTATATACATGTAACTGACAGACAAGTAACTCTTTTAGCTAATGCTAAGTTGATGAGTAAACTGCTAGTTGACTGTCAGTTTAAGATTATAATTGGCCTCCTAGCAACTCAAGTTCTCTATCAGGGAACTTGACCTACCTAGACGGGTCTCAGCTACATTATCATGGACTGACCTATATAGATGGTCTCAGCTACACTTTCTGTGACCAACCTACCTAGACAGGTCTCAGCTGCACAATCAGGGACTGACTTACCTGGACAGGTCTCAGCTACACAATCAGGGACTGACCTACCTGGATGAGTCTCAGCTACACAATCAGGGACTGACCTACCTAGATGAGTCTCAGTTACATTATCTGGATGACCTACCTAGACGGGTCTCAGCAAACATTTCCTCCACACTTTTTGAGTAGCTCTCTTTCTTCCCCCTGAACAAGGACTCGGCTACTACCTTTTCTTCCATCTAGATTAATATATAAAATATTATCTTACAATTGTTATTTATTATTTACTTAGAGAGGTTTGTAACCTGTAATATTATGCAGTGAAACAAGGCACAAATTATTCCAACAATATACAGCTAATTTGTATATTATTGTTTAAATAAATATTTCTTATACCGAAGTTTCTGTCGAAGTCTAATAAAAAACAAGAGGCCCAAGGGCCTTAACGGTCACCTGAATATAATACAACAATTTAGAGAATCCATAGAGTATAAAATGAACTGAAAGGTGAAGCTTTGTTGCCCAAAAGCAAGAAAAATAGGGTGATCAGGATCAACAAAATAATTAGTCCAGTATTCATTAACAGTTCATAAATTAGGTTCTAATCTGTTCCCCATTTATCACTATCACCATACAGTATACTAAGCAAACTACCAGTGCTTCTGTACTATTTTAATTCCTTGCTGAAATCTCTTACATAGGCCTCTCTTGGTCTTTGATGAACATTTAATAAGACAAGTTATTTTTGTCTCATTTTTATTTATCTATTACTTACAAGTCCACCTGATCATTAAAACTATGAAAATACTTTTTGTATTATACAATAAAAATTCTTGCATAATTGTCTTATTCTATTAACCTTTCAAGTACATTATTTACAGTGATTAATTATCAAAAGTAAACAGCAAAGGGGAATAACTCCTCTCAGTAGAATACATATACATTATTATAACAGCAACTTGATCCGAAGAGTCGTATCACGTCGAGTTGACAGGCGCGGATCATCAGATCAAACGAGATGCGAAGCGTCGAGTTTGATCTGATGATCCGCACCTGTCAACGAGACGTGATACGGCTCTTCGGATCAAGTTACTGTTATAATGATAAATTTATTATATACCCCCCTTACAACTAGCAAAATATAGTTTTAAAAAAACTTTTGAGATCAATTATATAAGATTTTCCCATTAAACAAAGCATTTTGTCAAGGAACTTTTTGATGCGCATGAAAAATAACGTCACGTTTCTGTGTACTACGTCATCAATTTCAGAGAGGGGTGATATGGATTCAGAAAACCACAGTGTGGTGATCCGGAAAGCTGGATCACACCGTCACGTGATTGTACGAAATCTACAGTAAAAATGAGTGATACACACTTGGGTATATAATAAAAATTAATAGAGCCCTGGCCAGGACCAGAACTCTTGACCAAATGGTCCAGATGTTCAAAAATCTGGTAAAAATACCCTTCCTTATCAAAACTTTTACTCTTTTTGCCTCTGATATGCCCAACTGCAGGAAAATTTTTAAAGAAATAATGCATTTTTACTACAGATTCACTATATTATCAATAGAGCCCCCCTCCCCACTGAGAAACACCAGAGCCTCTCACCCGGGGACCAGAAGTTTGCTCATCATAAGTAATCATGTTGTTTATCTGCTTTCTAAGGAGCAGACAGGATTATTTAATAGAATTACTGCATTTTCACTATATTATCAAGAGCCCCCCCCCCCCCCCCCCACCTTTTCACCAGAACCCTTTACCCTGGGGCCATGAAATTCACAATTTTGGAAGAGGCATCCTTGCATATCATAACAATGTACTTAGTTTGTTTAAATAGTACCCAGGGGCAGAGAAGAAGATTTTCAAAGAAATAATTCACCTTCACTATAGGAGCTATATAGCCCCACCCTAGCATCAGAACCCCTGTCCCTGGGGACATGAATTTCACAGTTTTGGAAAAGGCATCCTTGCTTATCATAACAATGTACTTAGTTTGTTTAAATAATACTCAGGAGCAGAGAAGAAGATTTTTAAAACATTAATGCATTTTCACAAATAGAGCCCTGCCCTATAATCAGAACCCCTGATCCAGGGGCCATGAAATTGACAATTTGGTAGAGTCACTTTTGCTTATCATAACTATGTATTTAATTTGTTTCAATAATACCCAGGAGTAGAGAAGAAGATTTTCAAAGAAATAATGCACTTTCACTATATGATCTATATAGCTCTGCCCTAGCACCAGAACCCCAACCGTGGGGCCATGAATTTCACAATTTTGGTAGAGTCACTCTTGCTCATCATAACTATGCATTTAATTTGTTTCAATATTATCCAGGAGTAGAGAAGAAGATTTTCAAAGAAATAATGCACTTTCACTATATGATCTATATAGCCCCCCCCCCCCCCCCAGCACCAGAACCCCTTACCCTGGGGCTATGAATTTCACAATTTTGATAGAGTCACTCTTGCTTATCATAACTATGTATTTAATTTGTTTCAATAATACCCAGGAGTAGAGAAGAAGATTTTCAAAGAAATAATGCACTTTCACTATATGATCTATATAGCCCTGCCCTAGCACCAGAACCCCTGACCCTGGGGCCATGAATTTCACAATTTTGGTAGAGTCACCCTTGCTTATCAAAAATATGTATTCAATTTGTTTCAATAATATCCAGGAGTACAGAAGAAGATTTTCAAAGAAATAATGCACTTTCACTATATGATCTATATAGCCCCACCCTAGCACCAGAACCCCTGACCCTGGGGCCATGAAATTCACAATTTTGATTGAGTCACCCTTGCTTATCATAACTATTTTTCAATTTGTTTCAATAATATCCAGGAGTAGAGAAGAAGATTTTCAAAGAAATAATGCACTTTCACTATATGATCTTTATAGCCTCACCCTAGCACCAGAACCCCTGACCCTGGGGCCATGAATTTCACATTTTGGTAGAATCACCCTTGCTTATCATAACTATGTATTCAATTTGTTTCAATAATACCCAAGAATAGAGAAGATGATTTTCAAAGAAATAATGCACTTTCACTATATGATCTATATAGCCCCGCCCTAGCACCAGAACCCCTGGCCCTGGGGTCATGAATTTCACAATTTTGGTAGAGGGCTCAAAACTTATTACAGTCATGTCAACAGTTTGACTGCTTGATGTCCTGGAGTAAAGAAGAAGATTTTTAAAGATTGCATTAATTTTGGTGGTTTTAGCCCCACCCCTCAGGCCCCAGGGGGCAGGGACCATGAAATTCACAAATTTTGTTCCCCTTCACACATAGATGTCATATGCTAAAATTGGCTGAAATTGGTTCAGCGGTTTCAGAGAAGAAGCTGAAAATGTTCAAATGTTAACACACGACACACAACGCATGACGGACGACAGACGACGACGGACGAAAACAGATAGCAATAGGTCACCTGAGTGACTCAGGTGACCTAAAAATGAAAGTGTAACAGCGTATGTATACAAGAGGCCCATGGGCCTTGAATCGCTCTTCTGATAAACTGTACAACCTATCACTTCTATTTGAAGCTTCGAAGTATCCTGTATATTTACATAAACCCTTGAAATTCCAATTCACACTCTGAGAACCCAAGATGATTCTATGCCAATTAGTACCTGAGAGTTGGTCATGGTGACCTACTTATCACTTGTCATTCTCTGAGGACCCATCAACTAAGTTTGATGATTCTAAGCCAATTAATACCTAAAATGTTTTTTAAAATTATAATCATAAAATTTTATATGTAGGTCAAAGTGACCTACTTTTCAATTGTTTTACTCCAAGGACCCAAGATGCATCAACTGACAAGGTTTGATGATTCTAAGCCAATTAGTACCTGTAATATTTAATTACAGCCATAAATTTTCAAAAGTAGGTCACAGTGACCTACTTTTCAGTCAACCTACTCCGAGGACCAAAGATGCATCAACTGACAAATTTTGACGATTCTAAGCCAAATGATTCCTGAAAATATTAAATACAGCCATAAAATTTCAAAAGTAGGTCACCGTGACCTACTTTTCAGTTGTTGTACTCCGAGGACCCAAGATGCATCAACTGACAAAGTTTAATGATTCTAAGCCAATTAGTACCCGAAATATTTGATTAAAGCCATAAATTTTCAAAAGTAGGTCACTGTGAACTACTTTTCAGTTGTTGTACTCCGAGGACCCATGACGCATAAACTGACAAAGTTTTATGATTCTAAGCCAATTAGTACCCGAAATATTTTATTAAAGCCATAAATTTTCCGAAAGTAGGTTACGGTGACCTACTTTTTAGTCGACCTACTCCGAAGATCCATGACGCATCAACTGACAAAGTTTGATGATTCTAAGCCAATTAGTACCCGAAATATTTAATTAAAGCCATAAATTTTCAAAACTAGGTCACGGTGACCTACTTATTAGTCAACCTACTCCGAAGACCCAAGATGCATCAACTGACAAAGTTTGATGATTCTAAGCCAATTAGTACCTGAAATATTAAATATAGTCATATAAATTGAAAAGTAGGTCACTGTGACCTACTTTTCAGTTGACCTTTTTTGAGGACCCAAGATGCATCAACTTACAAAGTTTTATGATCATAGGACTTAAAATGTCCAAATTATGCCTCTAAAACGCTTTGAAATCGAATGCCTGCAAAGTTCAAAAAGTAGGTCACTGTGACCTACTTTTTAATAAATATGTTTTATGGCCCCAAGATGCATCATCTTACAAGATTTAATGATTCTAAGCCTCCCCGTATTTGAATTAATGACCTTAATTGTTTTAAAAAAGATTAGCCATAAAATTCAAAAAGTAGGTCAAGGTGACCTACTTTTTAGTTGACGTACTTTGAGGACCCAAGATGCATCAACTGACAAAGTTTGATGATCATAGGCCTTAAATTGTTCAAAATATGCCTCTAAATCATTTTGAAAAAGAATGGCCGCAAAATTTAAAAAGTAGGTCACCATGACCTACTTTTGAGTCAGCATGATATGAGGTCCTTAGATGCACCAACTGACAAGATTTGATGATCCTAGTCCTTATAGTAAGCAAAATATCAACATTTTAATAAAATGTAATTTTTGGTCAACTTTGAAGTGACCTTGAGACCACGCCCTTTGCCCCAGGGTAAATCCCCGTGCAAATTTTAATCTACAACATATCCTCATCCTTTTGTGTAAGTTTGGTGATAATCTGCCCAGTGGTTCTTGAGAAGAAGATTTTTTAGCAACCAGTACTTTTTTTTCTATTTTCCTAATTATCTCCCCTTGTTAAAGGGTCACAACCCCAGTTTTAGTATAAAAGGGAGCCCTTGGGCCAAGGATACCCTGTGACAAATTTGACAATAATTGGCCAAGGGGTTCTGGAGTTATGGCCCATATTCTAAAAAGTTTACGCACACCGCACAAATGGCCATAGCATTAGCTCTTTGAGCCTTTGGCTCAGAAGAGCTAATAATATATATACATGTAACAAAAGAGAATCCATGTAAACAATGGATCTATAAACAAAGCTCATAAATTAGTCCAGTAAACTAGCCCTCCAATTTGAAAATAGCAATTCTGCAATCCTGATTGAGCTCACATTTTCAAAATTAATTTTTATCTAGAGGAAGACTGTACTCCGTGTTAGCTATGGAGCGACCATGCCTGGATCATCCATCCCTGCCTTATGTAATGTGTTGTCAACAGTGTGATCTTCCTGTTTGTACAAGCTGTATCGCAGACAATCACAAAGGTCATATATTTCAAAACATTCCTAGTTTTTACAGCACTAAAATAGAAAAATGCACAAAACAACTCAGATTTCTCAAAGAGGAAATCCTGACAAAGTGCAAAGAAACCGAGTCTTCAGTAGAATCCCAAATACAAGAGTGTACGACTCACTTTGCCAACATTCGGTCGTCATTGGTGTCCAGGGCTAACGAAATAAAGGAAATGGTTGATCAAGTTCTATCAGAAAAACTAACAACTGTAGATAAAACTGAGTCAGATGCTTACAACCAATTAACAGCTGGAGGAAGTAAAATCAGAAACCACATCTGTCACCTACAGAACACATTTGTACTTTATGAAAAACACATGCAGGAGACGGACAAACCAGCATCATTCCTGTTGTTCTGCAAGAAAAATCAACTAACGGACTTGGAAAACATTCCACAGGTTTCCAAAGTAAATTTGCCAAAATATTCTGAGAATCCTATCTCCTTTGAGGAGTTGTCCAAGCAATTTGGAGTGCTTCAAGTACAGAAATCAGAGCAAACATACGAGCTTATGTCTTTGCAAAAAGAAAATTCAGGTGGCACCTTGGGGGAGGAAAGCAAAAATGCCACCTTGCTTGGATATCTGCTGACACCTGGCCTTGAGAGTTGTCATCATATTTCTCATGTGAGATTGGGGAAAGTTTGGATCAGTGACCACATGGGAAACCTGACACTGACGGACAGCTCACGGAAAAAACTTAGGAGTATCTGCTGCAGCGGGGGCTACGGTTTCCACTGTGGAACAAAAAAAGGAACTTTACTTTTAGCAGATCACAGAAGGAAGCAGATAACAGAGATACACACTGACTACTCATCTCAGGTTCTCTTCTCCACAGGTGAGTGGACTCCATTGTGTGTTTACTGCTCAAAACGTAATGGTGACCTATTGCTAGGTATGAAGAACAAATCAAAAGGTCTTGTAGCACGTTATGACAAAAGAGGCCAGGAACTGCAGAAAATTCCATCCACTGCTGAAGGAAAAACCATCTACAGTGAACCATTTTACATCACAGAAAACAAAAACGGGGACATCTGTACATCCGACTGGTACCAGGAGGCCCTAGTGGTTGTCAATAAATCAGGATGCCACCGATTCTCCTACTGTGGCACCACGGGAACCAAACTATGTCCTGGTGGTGTCTGCACTGATAGAAGAGGCCACATTTTGTTGTATGAAGCTTCTAGTCCCAGTGTTCACCTGATCAGTCAAGATGGAGAATTGCTGGATATAATTAGTTTCCTTTCTACTGGACTCTCCTTTACTCCACAAGGTTTGGATATAGACGAAAGTCACAACTTGTGGGTGGGAACTTTTATGGATCAAAGTTGTGTAAAAGTATTCAAATATACATACCTCAAAAATAATGCTTAGATGAAGACTTTAATAGTAAAATAAAAAGCATTTAAATGATAATTAATATTTACTCTACACAGGGTAATTTTCACCCCCATTTTATTTTTGTTCCTTTTCCCCTCATTAGATTAAACTATGCCTGAGTGAATTTAAATGGGGAAAAATCTTCAGAAATTATAAAAGGGCAGAAATAACCTAGGACGAAAAGAACCCTGTATACAGTATTTGCCGTTTCATGTAAATTGTTTTGACAATCAATTATAATCCTACTTTTGAATACACCTCACCTGTGCCTTTCGAGCAGGTGTAATGGATTTCACATAGCGGAGTGTGAGGTTTCTCATACACAGGTCTCGTAACAATTGAGATGTCTGAAATAAAGATCAGCCCATTTGAAAAATAAATTAAAAATGTAAGATCTGGTTACGAGAATTTTCTCTTTTAACAACCAAAGTCTCTTGAAAAATAAATGTTATCACAAACTCCTCTATATTCTCAAGTATCAATTATATAGATTAATTCAATTCCTCAAAATAATTATCTAATCATTATAAGTGTTTTTTATAATTGGCAAATCACCGTTATCCTTTCAGCATAGTTTATCCTTATCATCAGTGTTCAAAGTGATATTATACAAGTACATGTATTGAAGTAAATATGTACCATTACATACACATGCTCTTCAATACATTCTAATTGATCATGAGGAACTTTTCGACAAAATAAACATAAAAACATAGAAAACAGAAGAAAAAAAATTGCTAACTATATGGTATCCTTTTTGTTTTGAAAATTGAAACACTTATTTTTGTTTTATCAAATATATTATGGTAGATATACCCATGTATATACATGCTGTCTTTATGGTAGATATATCTATGTATACGTATATATGTTGTCTTGCAGGTGATTTATAAAATTCTTGGCTGTATATTATAATATAGATGTCATACAAGTATCTAGAAATGTTATAAGTTATAGATTTAAATTTGATGTTTGTAAATGTTATAAGTTATAGATTTGAATTTGATGTATAACTAGACCAGAGAGATGTTTGTAACTGTTATAGTCATACTTCATTTACACTCCAACTGCTAATCTAAATAAAACATAAAAACAAAAGAATACTTGTGATAAATGTTTAAGGATCAATTAAGGCCTAAGCAATATAGCGAGGGAGTTATCTCCCTGCAGCTGTACTTTGTAGCTGGCTTGTATATACAATAGCCAATGTGAATATTTTTTCTCTGTATGTATTTGTGGTAAATACAAGAAATGACTTTGTCTTTTTTTTGGGGGGGGGGGATATGCCCCATCAGAAGCCTACTGATTTTAAAGTCATAAAAGTCATTGGAAATGATGTTTTTTAACATCAAATGAATGTAGTCACAGTCACAATTTAAAGAGGTACCATTTGACCTTTTAATATACAGTAAAACATGCTTATAGCAAAGTGCCAGGGATGGACAATTTTGCTTTGTTATAAATGTAATTTGTTATATCCGTTAAGTTCATAATACTATTCAGAACTGAGGGGTATGAAAATCACTTCGTTATAAGCATAAATTCATAAGTGTGCTCACTATATGCATGTTTTACTGTATTATCTTACACCAAACAAGTGTAACTTTCTTCAAAGAAGTTTGATAATTATTTTCTGTTATGAGCATTTCTCTCAAAAGATCACTGCTCACCTCCTGCAGTAACTGTGGTGCGGGTGGCCAGTTTTTGTCCAGGACATTTTTGGGGAGTTGATCTTTCAGTTTAGTTAGGTAGTTGTATTTGGTGTACTGGATAAAGTGCTTGTTTTCATCACATTCCGGCTCCAGGCGATGAATGAATCCCTTGATGAATCTACAGATTAAATAATAACTCGCCATAAAAATCTGCTAAATAATGCTAAACTTACAAGGAAATGACACGAATCTTGTTAAAGTAAGAAGCATTAACACTGTATAGCATAAGAAATTCAGCAAAACTTGCATTTGACTACGTATATTAACAAATGTACTATTTATGAATTCTTTGATCTAAAGTTCTCAACCTATTGCTCATATATGAGGATTCATTCAATATAAAGAACATATATGTACTGAGCATGTGAAATTTAATATATATATAGGAATAGAAAAAAATAACCAAGCTAGACATCTTTATTACATTTTCAACAGTGAAATACTGTAATTTATTTGCTGAATAAAGTGATATTCTGACACAGTGTGAAAAGATATCAAAATGGTATTCTCACAGTGTGAGAATGTCAGAAGTGCGGCAAAACTTACGATTTTCCTTCCCTTCATGAAGAGTGTTTTTAAAAAAATCCCTGGCCTTTTATAAGATAGAGTAAATAAGCCATCCTGACAGAAACAAATAGTTATACTGCCAAAGCTTTTCCAATTATGTCGTTAAAAATCCATGTTTTCAATGTTTTTCAATCTCTAAATCATTTAGCCATGACGTCTCAACCGCTCAATTATGACGTCACAGCCTATGTCACTGTGTTACGAAAAGACAGAGGCATAAGGAAAATCTAAGAAAATGTAATAAACAGAAAATTCAATGTTTTATAGATGAATATGGATTTTATTTCACTCGTGAAAATATCAAAAAATTCTGTCCCACTCGTGAAATAAATTCCATATTCATCTACAAAACATTGAATACCCTCTACATATTCATGAGGCACAGTAGATCAGTGTAACTGTGATTTCCTGCTATTAGTTTACCCTCGGAGTCTTTCTGCTGCCTGCTTCCTCCTCTTTAGAAGTCTCTGTGCAGCGACTCGTCTCCAGTGACTCTGTAGACGGATAGCAGACAACTTCCAGGTCTGGAACTTCTTCTTCTGAGCGAACCCTCTGTAGCGAGCCTGCACTAGAGTGGCTGAAGATAAAGTATTCCAGAATCAGAAACTTTAATGATAGCTTTACATTTATTCTGTCCCTTTAAGGTGTGTGAATATCATGTGACTGTATTGCTTCCGAAGGTACTTCAGAAATAAATGGCTGAAGTTAATTTTTTTGTGCTCAGCAGTATACTATAAATGTACAAATCTAGCACACTTTAAGTTTAATGCAACCTTCCTATTCAACTGGTAAGTGCAATCATAAATTAGTACACTTGTCAAAAAGACAATTACCCCGGTACTGATTTAAATCTTGTATTACTGTGTACCATACATAAATTAGTTGACATGAAGCAGCTCAAATTGCTAAAATATAAATGCCACTAAAATGAATACATTTACAGTATATGACCTGTTGGACCGTAACATGCCTAAAAATAAAGCTGTACTTACCCAAATCATGCTTGCGTAACTGAAAGGCATCCTCTGTGGCAAACAGAACACGAGGAAATCTGATGAACAACTTTGTTCTGCGAAAATAAGAAAAATCTCTTCATACATGTACTGAGCTCATTTTTAAATCATTACATCAGAAATAACTTGTGAGATTTCTAGGGGTGCGTACTTTCCAAGTCTGTAATCATCATTACTGTACTGTAGATGATTGACCAACACCTCCACTCCCTCCTTAGCTGTTCCATCAAAGTGTGGCCAGGTGTCTGGACAGAGGCTCTTGTACCTGGATAATAAATAAACAACTCAGGTAGGCAGAGTAAATGGTTAAACATTGAAATGTACCTCATCCTCTTCTCTCCAGTATCCCACTTTTATGATCTTTTGCCTCACCCCAACCCCCTAAAAATAGACTTAAAGTACCCAAATCATTTTAATTTACTTGTTAAACCAACTGACTGAAAATTAAATGAAATTTATGACATATTTTGCACCAAAATAGAAAATGTAAAGTTTAATATCTACAGATATGCTTAATTACTGGTAAATATGTATGGTGAAACTCGGTTATAGCAAAGCTCTGGGACCTCACTTTGCTACGGTATATCTAATTCATTATACATGTATCCATATAACAAATTCCTTAAATTACACATAGAGAAATTCGCTACATACATTATATGTCTAACAAATATATCAGATTTGTTACAACAGTAAAATTTTACAAGGAATTTTTAAAAATCCCTAAACACTTTTCTATATCCATAATTTTGCAGTGTTTGTACAAAATGAGTTCCACTGTACTCTTAAAACATCAGAACATCAAGAAAACCTAAGAGTTAGGGATTCTAAGACCATTAAAAGAATAAATTACTGCATAGGTGATCCAATCTTGTGATTTAGCAGAGATCAATGTGTTAAAATACCTGTTCAGAAATATTTCATATGGCCTTCTGTAGGCAAAGCCAGCTCTCCTGACCCTCAAGTTCTCCATCAAACCGAGATACTTTACTTGATGGTGAACAATCTGGTCATCAAACTGATCTGTAAAACATTAAATACAGGCTCAATTATAGGCTAAATGTAAATATCAGGTATAGGCTAGATCGATTACTGGACATCCAAATGTAAACATCAATCACAGGCTAGATAAATTACTGGACATCCAACTGTAAACACTGATTATAGTCTAAAGATTACTCGACATCCATATATATTTATATATAATATCTAGATATATTACTGGACATTCAAATATAAACATCAATTATAGGCTAAATAGATTATTGAACATCCAAATGTAAACATCAAGTATAGGTTCATAGGCTAGTTAGAATACTTGACATCCAAATGTAAACATCAATTATAGGCTAGTTAGATATCTGGACATCCAAATGTAAACATCAACATAGGCTAGAAAAATTACTAGGCAGCCAAATGTAAACATCAATCATTGGCTAGACAGATTGCTTGAGAGAACACAGCCACTGAGAATCTATGATTTGAGTAGGAAATTTACATAACACAATAACACACCTGTACCTTTTTGTATACTTTACCTGATCTCTTGTAATCATTGGGCTTGATACACCTGACATATGACGGCTCTTTGGACATTAGGATCTCCATCAGTTGAGCCAGGCTGGTCTTGAACTGTGTGGCTGCCTGTAAGGATGGTATCACTAGTGCATGTTTATATGTATCTGGTGTATTCAAAACAAAGGAACCTGGATCTCTTCTAAATAAGATATTAGTGAGGGGAGACAACCCTCGGGTGTACATACCGTGTTTGGTCTTTTTTTATTCTGTAACTCTGCTTGAGGGAAACACTGACTGGTGATCTTGTTAGACGTCTGACTCATTGCCTACAAATGTTAAATCATGACTGATTAAAGGTTAAATAACAGTGAATCATGATACCATGACAATATCAGAAGTAACACAGGTACATCAGTGTATGAATGTTTACCTCTTTCAGATCTCTGAATAACGTGTCATTGTTCTTGTCTAGGAATCCCTGAATGCTGTATGTGACCTGACCCGCAAAATGTAGTAAACGAAACTCCTGAAAATCAAGTCTTAAAATGAGACAAAAAAATCTTATTCATAACACTGAAACAATAATTTCTTTTAATGGAAAACATGACTGAAGAAATATTTACTCATGCAAGCTGTAAAATAGAATTCATAGGTTATTTTGTACATAAGAGCCTCTTACATCTCGGCCGATGGACTTGCGTTCAGCTACATCTGTCGCAGAGGAATGGCTGACAAAGTGAGGATGCTGACCCAGATTAAGGTTCAGTTTCTCCAAGAATGTCCCGTCAGTTGGTTCCCCCGGCCGCAGGCATTCCTCATCCTACAATTACAAAGTGTTACAGGTATACTGTAAACTAGCTATTATTAGCAATAACTTTTATTTCCAATTCATCCGTTTAAAATCCATTTGCAACTATAAATTTGCACGGCTGTAAAAGCATTCCACATAATATCAGAAATATGGAAAGAAATATTCCCGAGTAAAAGAAGGTTGCAGAAATTTCCCACATGGAAATAAAAGTTGATTTAAAGTACCTAAACATTATCGAAATAAAAGAAAATTCAAATGCTCACTACACAGTATCTCTTTTTGTAAATTTTTTTCCGCATGGGATTAATTTAGGCTATGTATGCAGTCATAGATCTTCTGCGGAAATTTGTCATGATCCAATAAAACCACATAATTTCTTACCCGCAGATTGAAGAGAAAAATTCAAATTCTGCAGAATGATGACCCATGGATAAAAAGGACATTTACAGCATTTTCAGATTCCACAGGAAACTGTTTAAATAAATTGTGATTACCATGATAGCAATGATTCCTACAGGCTTCCCCTCAACAAGGTCACAAATTATTTTGTTGTTGAAATAGTCCACTTTCTCCCACTGTAAGAAAAAATATCATTTTATTACTGTATACTAGATACTGCGTTATTTTTGCCCTTTATGACTTACAAACTATTTTACTCCATTTTAAACTGAACTAACGGAGAGATACCTCATTGTTGAAACTGCTCTGTTTTCAATCATCCCCTGGTGACAAGGGCAATAAGGGTCGAAAATAAAACAGGGTGAATATTTGCATGTATCACTCAAAATTAATACAACCTTAAAAAAAATTGATACAATATATTTATACTGCATATGAATTCAGTTCTAGTTTATGTAAATACTTACAGCAATTCCCTCCCTTTGATATTCCTCTTGTTCGGATTTCAGAGTCAGTTCAATAAAGAGCTGTTGTAGTTTCTCGTTGCAGTAGTTTATACAGAACTGTTCAAAGCTGTTCACCCCAAAAATCTCAAACCCATAGATATCTAAAATACCCATCAAACTGCATCTCATTCGCTTCTGAAAAAGAACATTTTAATATTGTTTTGGAAAATTTTCTATTTTCTACATTGAAATTACATATTGCTCTAAAAAAATAACTCGCTTCAAATTTATAAGAAGTTCTTAAATTATCTTAATATTTGAGTCCTTTCATGTTTGTTTGTCTGTAAATTGTGTAAGTCAGGAGTCAACAGTAATTACATGTACACCATAACCTCTATATCCCAAAGGTTCTTCTCAATGTGTTTTGTGGAGTACCTGATAAATAAAACTCACCCTGCTGTTTAACGAGTTGTTGACCTTTTTGACAATCCAAGTAAACAGCCTGTCATAAACTCCCTTAGCGAGGGCATCTCTAGCATACAAGGCCTGGTCCTTGTTTAGTGGTGATTTCATCTACAAGTATACAAACAATAGGCTACCATTCAACTAACCAAGTTCCTATCTATTGAACATCCAATATCAGTGGCTAAATTTTATGTGACTTGCCATATGGCTTTCACGGCAAGAAATTTACATTAAACAAAACATATTTACAACTTCCTTTCTTACAATTCATCATTTTATAAATCCTCCTGACCCCTACAACTTGTCATTTTATTAAATTCTTGAACACTCATCATAAAGTCAAATTTTCAGATTAAACAGAGTTTTCTACCATCTTTGACATTCACTGAAAACCATAGCCACACTGACCACTTTTAAGTCATAAACTTTTCATTTTTTACGTAGGTTATTTCTTACGAACCTTTTCTCCTTTAGCTTCAATGGTTCTGTTCTGTAGAGCTGATTGTAACACACCCTCCGGACATCCCAGCAGCTACAACACAGATCATTTCATATAAAACCACATTCCTCTCTCTGTGGCTCAAAGAAATTCATTTTTAAAAACTTTAACAAACTAAGTAGGAAGTCTTTGAACTTTGATCAAAATATTGTCCAGAATATATTAGAACAACTAACACTGGTAGCCCTGAAGATTTTTTTAAGAAATCTTTTCTAAATCTGTCTGAGATGCCATGAGATTTTACTTATCTTTTGAGAATATTTATGCTGAAGCAGATTACAGTATACACACCTGTGAAATATTTTCCACTGGAGAAAAATCTGTAATATTAGCCAGTCCATCATCATCCTCGTCAAACTGAATGTTTCCCAGATGTAGAACGGATGCCACGATAGAAAACAAGGCCTATAATGAAGTCTGTATTTTAAAATTTCAGTTCCAGCCACATATTAGGTACACACTCATCAAATGACTAAAAAGACCATACCAAAGTATATAACATATATTGCTAATGTAACCCTCCTGGGATATACAATAATTTTTTTATACAGTGACCCACTAAAGGTTATGTGTATATAGTATACCAATAGTTTCAATATATCCAATTAGGATTTCATAACGTACTAAAATAACTTAATTTTTTGTAAATCGATGAATATAAGTTGACTTTCTCCATCCCTTGTGTTACAGTAGGGGGACAAAAGTGTTGACAAAAACATGGCGCCCGTAGAAATTATGTCGCGTCTGTCCTATCGTAAAGCGTTATTTTTATTTTTTACCGACTACGTCATAGGGATTCCCTTTAGACACAAATAGATCAAGACTTGGTCATGTGATTTCATATGTCATATTTTCGTCTGCTGCATATATTGTATACATTTTGATGTCAAACAAGTGATGGAGGAGAAAAGGGAAGAACTGTCGATAGCTTTGAAAGAGATCATCGTGCAGCTTTACAGAAATGGAGAAAAAATTGCAGACATAGCACAGGCGGTGAACAAGTCCCTGTCTTCTATTTACCGTGTGATTAGAAAATTTCAAAATTCAGAAAGTCTGGAAAAATCGCCGTAGATCAGGCCGACCACGACTGATTGACGAACGTGAATATCGAAGGTTGCAAAGGTTAGTTAATGTTGATCGTTGTGCACCTTTGGGTGATATTACTGCTAAATTCAACAAAAACAGGAATGTTGCGGTTTCTAAGAAGACTGTAAAACGTAGATTGAAGGAACATGGGTTTTCCAGAGGAGTTTATAGGAAGAAAGTAACAATTAAAAGTGTGAACAGGAAAAAGCGGCTGTCATGGTGTCGGGAGAAAAGATTGTTAACTTTCAGCGGAGTAAAGTAAGTTTTAGTGATGAGTGCCAGATATTTGTTGGGGAAAATAAACGTGTGTATGTGTGGAGAAAAGCCGGTGAAGGATGGAGACCGGACTTGGTTCCAAAACAAAATGGACGCAAATTCAGTGTGATGGTATGGGGATGTCTATGTTTTAATGGAGTTGGAACTTTATCTAGAGTTAATGGCAATATTAATGCTCAGAAGTACATAGAGATTTTAGACAACAATCTCTGGCCTGTCATTGCCCGTCACTTTCCAGCAGGAAACTATCTTTTTCAGGACGACAATGCCCCGGTTCATCAGGCGCGGATCGTACAAGAATTCATAGCAAGGAATCATATAAAAAATATGAGTTGGCCGGCCCAATCACCGGACTTGAACATTTTTGAAAATATTTGGTTGTATATTAAAAGAAAACTGCAGCAACGTATACATCATATAAATTCGGATCATGAGCTGTACCAACAAGCACTCAACATCTGGCAAGATATTACTCGCAATTACGTACGGAACCTCTACCAATCTATCCCTCGCCGAATTTTGCAAGTAATTCGCTTGAAGGGACACTTGACTAAATATTAAGGTAAGTTTTTTCGTATTTTATTTCATCCAACTACAGCAGTTACCGTTTTTCTATCCGAGTTATCTTTCTTACGACGGTTGCGCAGAGCCATATTTGGCAACACTTTTGTCCCCCTACTGTAGATTTATAATGAAGTAGACAGTTGTAAATATACACAGATAAGTCTCACTACCTCTTGTTCCTGTGCTGTGAAGTCACACACATCCAATGCATGTTTTACATGGTTGAAATCTTTGTGGTCATTCAGTGCATCTACTCGAACACTCTTGCCCTAATTTTGAAAGTTTTTGTAAAACAATAAAAAAAGAAATGAAATAATAATTAACTCCTAAGTAAATATTTTATTTCTATATCACCAAAAATGATAGGAGAGTAAAATAAAATTATATAAAATGTTCCACATAATTTTTTTCCCCTTGTCCATACACCAAAATGAAGAAGCTAAAGAGATGTACATCTATAATCTAATGCACAAGGAACCCTTTGACTATGTTCTTATTCTCACACCTGTGTCAAGTAATGGTACTTTTCAGCATCCTTGGTCAACCTGAGTTTACTCAGCAGTAAGGGGGTTCCCCCTGCGATCAGCTGATAAAATATGTGAAAGTTACGTTCTCCTTCAGAGTGGTGACAGACTCGGGATTTCTCCAGTAAATAGTTCAGAATGTGGCCTCCCACAGGAACTCCCTGACAAAAGAGAGGATCATGGGAAATAAAATCATGACCTCATAAAGTCTTTGCATCTTGAAAGGAAATTCTAATATTTGCTGATCAATATTAATGTACTAAGTACCTTGAAGTCAAATTGAATGTCCATATATTTTCCAAATCTGCTAGAGTTGTCATTCCTGTTGGTTTTTGCATTCCCAAAAGCCTGAAATTAAACATTGAATGAATTTTTCAGAAATTCAGAGGGCCAAAAAAGACCCATTAGTGAATCTTCTTCTTTTATAAAGCTTATGGTGCATACACTGTGTCATTTTTATTATGAATTTGTTAAAGAAATAAAATATTGTGTACAGGGTAATTAATCTGCAACTTGAAATGTGTGCAATCTTGTTCTTAAAAGTTCATGAGCAAATTTTTATGACCTTTACATTTTCATTTCTAGTCAAGTTGCTACAATGAGAATTGGAAATTTGAACCTTTGTGGTTAATCTATCTGTATTTTATTGAACTGTGAAATACCAAAATAAACTAGAAAATCATAAAAATGACTTGTTACAGAAACAAAAAGTATATATTAACCTCCAATATTGGATTTGACTGTAGCAGCCGATCTTTGACTTGCTCCACATCTCTCATGTGTTTGGAGCTGGCTGCGATATATTGCAGGATTTTTTTGGACGCCTCGGTTTTTCCAGCACCAGATTCACCAGAAATCAGGACACAGTGGTTCCGGTTCTCTCCGCGCATCGACCGGTATGCTGCATCAGCGATGGCAAATCTAGAATTATTAACCTATAATTTACTTCTGTACAAAATCACTATAGTTTTCTAAATAAATTAATGTCATCCTTTGTTCAGCACAATTTTAGCAGCAAATTACTGCAATAAAAGACTCTGAGATTGTTCTACATTGCTGATACAATGTGATAAAGTAAAACCCATATTGCTTGTAAAATTTCCATCTTACTGACTTGTGACTTGTTTACTTGTATGCTATTAGACTTCAAATCACTGTTCCTACACTAGTACTTGTGTACAGTTATGAACTTTCTCAACATTCCCTGTTTATTAGTGATACTTTGTAGAAATGAGTTGGGTTTTTAAAAGGTTTATCCACGTACATGACTTTTAAAATGTAAATAAAACTTGAGATGACATTGAAGCCAAACGGCCTTTTTGAACTTCAAAATAAGCATTTATATAAAATCAAGAAGAGTCATGATTGTTTGCCAGCCATAAATCATGTCCCATCAGCTAACAGTGCCACACACGCGAAAAACCGAAAAACCGGTTGCACTGAACTTAGGGGATATACAGTATACTGACATCAGAGCACAAATATCAAACACTAAAGATAAATACAATGGTTTTCTTCACCTCAGCTTCAGAGAATTTTTTTTACAAAATGATTGGCATCTCCTTGGAATAAAACATGATTTTTCTGACATCATACCATACTGATCTCATAAAAATGAAAATTCAGATAATTAGATTTCCCAAGGTACAATATTCTCTTCAAATTAAGAAAGTTAACATCATTTTTAAGAGAAATCCATTGCAAAATATCCATTTTTCATAGGATATATTGAAAATCTTCATTAATAATTCTACATCAGTTATATTGCCTTGGAGAGCTTTTAGATAAAAACCACACATCATATGGTCTAGTGGTACTCACAAATTTACATCTATATGAGGTGGGAGCTCATATATAAGGCAGCAAGTTCTAAATGTAAATGTAAACAAATATGAGTACTCATTCACACTTGAGATGGAAGCTCATATACACTCCCACATATGAGGTAGAAGCTTGTAAATGTACTCACATATGAGGTAGAAGCTTGTAAATGTACTCACAAATGAGGTGAGAGATCATAAATGTACTCATATATGAGGTGAGAGATCATAAATGTACTCACATATGAGGTGGGAGATTGTAAATGTACTCACATGTGAGATGAGAGATTGTAAATATACTCACATATGAGGTGAGAGATCGTAAATGTACTCACATATGAGGTGAGAGATTGTAAATGTACTCACATATGAGGTGCGAGATCATAAATGTACTCACACATGGGGTGAGAGATTGTAAATGTACTCACACATGGGGTGAGAGATCATAAATGTACTCACACATCGGGTGAGAGATCATAAATGTACTCACATATGAGGTGAGAGATCATAAATATACTCACATATGAGGTGGGAGCTCGTAAAAGTTGACGTTTCTGTAGATCTGTACATACTCCTCATTATAAATGTCAAAATTCTGATACGGATTCACTGACACTAACACTGGTCCAATGTAGGTCTACAAAAATTTTAAAAAATGGTTCTATAACAGTGGGAAATACTTTTAGCTGACAGTAACTTTTTATTATTATTACAAATTTTTATTTTTTTATGATATAGAAAAGCTATAACAAAGGGGGGGGGTATCGCTAGCTGAAATAATCACTTTCAAGAAGAGCTGTATGTTCATTTAAAGAAGAATTTATTATAGGTATCATTATTTTGTTGTCAGAAATGGGCATGTCTTTTGTTGCAACAGGACACTCAGGCCAGTAAAACTAAAATGTGAATAATGTGCAAACATTTAAAGAAGTCTGAAATAAAATCCAGGCAGACAACAATGATATTTATTTTTTTTACTGACTTTATCAGTGTTTACATTCTCCAGCAAATCCACAACAAAATAACTGCACAGCACCTGTTTTATAACAGGTATGTGTGATAAATATCACTGTTCAAACATGCAGTAAGATTAATGGGGAGATATTATTGATATACATATGTCATAAAACCTCTGACATGGTGGGCCTGTAAAACTCTACATCTCTCTGTCAGGACTGTGGAAATTGATTATTTTTTACACCTTTATTCTATTCTATCACCTTCTATCATTATCCATTAATCACCAATCCATCTTATTCAATCAGATTGATTTTTTTTCTGTTAATCACATCAAGTCAAATGTTCTCATGTATTGGACTTTTTCTCCATTACTCAACATTTAAAAAAGATACTCCTTTAAATAAAATAAAGAAAATCTTGAAGAATTACAAAAAAATTTACAATTCCATAATAAGTATTTTCAAATTTTGAAATTAAACTGAAATCATAGAAAATTTAAAAGTACACAACAGAAGTAAACTACTGGGTATTAAAATGTATATTTTGCTCACATAATTTAGAAATCAATCAGTCCAAAAATGAAAATGCAAGTTCACACAAGAAATAATAGATGATCGAACTTTTGACTTAAGTGCAAGTCCGTTTCATGATCTCGGGGCCGTTGTTTCACAGTTGATCGACTCTTTCCAGGATACAACATGTTACACAGAGAAAGAGAAAAAAATCAGTTACAATGTTAACTTAATACTGTACACATATACATGATAGTTATCATTAGTTCATTATAATTTTAGGCTAGATTTATACAAAACACTTACGTATATGAGGTTAGCATTGAATCTCTTCCTTAGATTTTCCACAAAAGCCTCGGGATTCATAAAGTCCTCCAGCAAAACAAAATCCTGGACCCCCGTATGGTCCCGCTTGTGAAGTTCATTCTCCATGGTAACCAAATTTTAATATTACAGATATTCTCCTTCTTGAGTTCCCGGTCTCTATTGATTCATTACCTAAAAACAATGATCAGGAATACAGTGTACAAGAGAAAAACTGCTGTTCATAGATGGAACTTCTATAAAAAAAATGAAAAATTAAGGATAAACGCCTAAAAAATAATCTGACGGTAATTAATTAGGTATTACTGTCCTACAACATAGCCCTATGATTCAGAATTCTCAAATTATTATAAATCATCAGACATACATTTTTATTACTCAGTTGTGGACTAATTCATCGTTAGTGGTAAGGGTCATTGTCATTAAAAAGGTCACTAAGCCGAGTAAAACACAAACTAACACCGCAAAATACAAACCAGATCATTGGATCATCCGGCGATAAAACAACCTGCCCCAAAATATAACTACAGAGGTTAACCAAAAACTCGTATAAAACAACCCTAACCCAATCAAGCAATATCAACCAAAAGCTTATATATAAAACACTCTTAACATATGCTTATGTACTGAAAAAATCTTTATAGATAGTAAAGTCACAGATTGTAAACCTGGATACAGAGGTTAACCAAAATTCACATAAAACACATTAACAAACCAAAATTCACATAAAACACATCGACACGGAAAGTCACTAACTGTATAAAACTGAAAAAATATTCTCTACAACGGAGTCCATATAAAACAATGTTAAACCTGGCTACAGAGTTTCAGTAGGACTTTATAGTCTGACAGCTGTATAATTGTCTTCTGTTTTATTTATATTTTCCTGATTATACACAATTCTCTCAGTCACGTACTTCAAATTCCATAGAGATGAGTAGAAATAGGCGAGTGGATTTAGATTAAGGCTAAATTTGAATTAGGAACACTTAACTTGCTGCAATATCTTAAAATTCTCTGCAGGTACGTATCATTTGGTTCATCACGGTGCAATGATAAATATAAACATCTGAACAATGATCTTGTTCTAGCAAATGGAAAGTTTTGCCCCATAAAATCTAACATAATTTATTTTTAAAGTCTTAAATTGACACATATACCCAGCTACACAATTTTTGCTCAGATGTCTTTAATTAAGTTCAGGAACTGCATGTTCATTTAAACAGATTCTCAGACTATACCTGTCCCTTAATATTATACAATGTGGTCATGTATATGTAAAACTCTGAAATATGCATCTCAGTCACTAGTTCAATTAAATAAAAAAAATAAAATAACATTCTATTTGGAGATCAGACAATCCAAAAACAGACAAGGAAATTCAAGATACTTTATCAAGTGCCTTTCCTAGAAAACTTTCTTTCTGAATTTTATCTGCCACTTAAATGTAATATTTAATGTAAGAATATCAATTTGACATATACATCTTCTTTTTTTCCTTATTAAAATTTAGTTTGAAATATTAATACAAAAACACAAATATTACAGAAAACACTGAATACAGTATATAATCTTTTCATAATGAAATGTATTCAAGTAAAAAATTAATATATAAATTACCTGACAGTCAGTCTAAGATAAATCCCTTAACATTACACCTGGTCAAATTTCTTGTTAACTTTAAAACCACAACATTCCTTGACAACCATGAAATAGCTTACAAGTCGGAAATGAATCACATTTCTGCCTCCTAGAAATACAAAATAACGTAAACTCCCATCTACAGAAGTGGCACTTAGAGTGCAACAGCCCTTACCAAATCACGGAACCTAGTCTATATAGAGAGAGGTGGGCATCTATACATATCTTAATGTTCAATACAGTGCAGCATAATAAAATCAACAAATAAATATAATACCTGATGTTTTAGACAAGTGTATCTCTATCATTTAATTTCTAACACTCTGATACATGGGTGGGTGAAAATCTCCCAGTTTGCTATAAATGTTGGAACATGTTAAATGATGGTGATGCCATATAAATTGTAAATGAAATGTGATGGAGCATTTATCATGTAATCTTCTTTTGCTGAAACTTTCTACTGAAATACTGCATCCACAGTATTGATACATGTATCAAATGTTATCTACACCTAAAAAAATACAGTTGAACTTCAGTATCTAGAACACTGATATCTGAATACCATGTTGTATATGTCAAAGTGATTTGAAAGTCCCAGCTACTTATTCTTTAAACATTTTACCCCTGATATCTCGAATCCATGGATACCTCTCAGTTTTTTCTTGGTCCCATTGAGTTTGAGATAACAAGGTTTGACTGTACTTAAGACTTCTGTCTGTAATTACAAACTATCTATCTCATTTGGGCTATTGATCAGATAATACAATGATGTAGTGGTGCTACACAAAAGTGCTGATAGGTCTCTTATGATATTGTTACTTCCATATATTAAAAATATTGACCTTCTCATAAATGATATAGAAGAACATTTAATATACATTGTATATATCACATGCATTGCTAATATGACTAAATATCAGACCATTGTACCATTAAATGCACAACATAAGAATCTCATGAACAGGTTTTCAGCAAAAATAAAAATTTTAAATGCATCTTAACTTATAACAGCCTCTTTGTATAAAATATTCTACGTTCTCTACGTGAATCATCAAAAAAATCTTAATGAAATTAACTACATCTGCTAATTATAACGTGATTCCAGTCTTTAAGTCGGTGAGTCACTTCAGTTGAGGGTTTTTATCATACAAGATAGTAAACGAATTGTAAGTAGATTAAAAATTAAAGTATATAAACATGTAGTTGTCCCATATTGTAAACTTTACATCCAATCATCAATGATATATAATGTCCACGAATCATAGAGTACATATTACTTTAAACTTACCACCCAAATGTCTTATGTCTTTCATCCCCCTCCGAGGTGACTGAACAGAGAAAAATGTTGACAATGATAAATCTTAAGTGGGTAAATACCATAAAGGAAACAAGGATGTAAAATCTCTTCCTATCAGCTCCATTCTTATACAGCTTATATATCAACAGACACTGGAAATAGCCTGATAAATGCATATAGCAATGTCTGCATACAAAAAACAGTACTCATGCAGCTGTACAAAACAAAGAACAACTTGATATGTCATCCAATAAAATAAGAGTTATGGTAAATTGTATGGGATCTTTAATGCTGTAATTTATTAGGTAAAAATAAGAAATCATTCATAATTTTAACACAAGAATTAATATATAAGCGGGAGACAACTCTGTACTGATATTGAAGAGTAACTGTTATAAGAGGGAGACAACTCTATACTGATATTAAAGAGTAACTGTTATAAAAGGGAGACAACCCTATACTGATATTAAAGAGTAACTGTTATAAGAGGGAGACAACTCTGTATTGATATTAAAGAGTAACTGATATAAAAGGGATACAACTCTATACTGATATTGAAGAGTAACTATTATAAGAGGGAGACAACTCTATACTGATATTAAAGAGTAACTGTTATAAGAGGGAGATAACTCTATATTGATATTAAAGAGTAACATTTATAAGAGGGAGACAACTCTATATTAAAGAGTAACTGTAATAAGAGGGAGACAACTCTATACTGATGTTGTAGAGTAACTGTTATAAGAGGGAGACAACTCTATACTGATATTAAAGAGTAACTGTTATAAGAGGGAGACAACTCTATACTGATATTAAAGAGTAACTGTTATAAGAGGGAGACAACTCTATACTGATATTGAAGAGTAACTGTTATAAGAGGGAGACAACTCTATACTTGATATAAAAGGGAGACAACTCTATACCGATATTGAAGAGTAACTGTTATAAAAGGGAGACAACTCTATACTCATATCAAAGAGTAACTGTTATAAGAGGGAGACAACTCTGTAAAGATGGTGAAGAGTAACTGTTATAAGAGGGAGACAACTCTGTAAAGATGGTGAAGAGTAACTGTTATAAGAGGGAGACAACTCTGTAAAGATGGTGATCAGTAACTGTTATAAAAGGGAGACAACTCTATACTCATATCAAAGAGTAACTGTTATAAGAGGGAGACAACTCTGTAAAGATGGTGAAGAGTAACTGTTATAAGAGGGAGACAACTCTACACTCATATCAAAGAGTAACTGTTATAAGAGGGAGACAACTCTGTAAAGATGGTGAAGAGTAACTGTTATAAAAGGGAGACAACTCTACACTCATATCAAAGAGTAACTGTTATAAGAGGGAGACAACTCTGTAAAGATGGTGAAGAGTAACTGTTATAAGAGGGAGACAACTCTGTAAAGATGGTGAAGAGTAACTGTTATAAGGGAGACAACTCTACACAAACATTAAAGAGTAACTGTTGTAAGAGGGAGACAACTCTGTAAAGATGGTGAAGACTGACTGTTATAAGGGAGACAACTCTACACAAACATTAGAGAGTAATTGTTGTAAGAGGGAGACAACTCTGTAAAGATGGTGAAGAGTAACTGTTATAAGAGGGAGACAACTCTGTAAAGATGGTGAAGGGTAACTGTTATAAGGGAGACAACTCTACACAAACATTAGAGAGTAATTGTTGTAAGAGGGAGACAACTCTGTAAAGATGGTGAAGACTGACTGTTATAAGGGAGACAACTCTACACAAACATTAGAGAGTAATTGTTGTAAGAGGGAGACAACTCTGTAAAGATGGTGAAGAGTAACTGTTATAAGAGGGAGACAACTCTGTAAAGATGGTGAAGAGTAACTGTTATAAGAGGGAGACAACTCTATACTGATATTGAAAAGTAACTGTTATAAGAGGGAGACAACTCTGTACTAATATTAAAGGGTAACTGTTATAAGAGGGAGACAACTCTATACTGATATTGAAGAGTAACTGTTATAAGAGGGAGACAACTCTATACTGATATTAAAGAGTAACTGTTATAAGAGGGAGACAACTCTATACTGATATTGAAGAGTAACTGTTATAAGAGGGAGACAACTCTGTACTAATATTAAAGGGTAACTGTTATAAGAGGGAGACAACTCTATACTGATATTGAAGAGTAACTGTTATAAGAGGGAGACAACTCTATACTGATATTAAAGAGTAACTGTTATAAGAGGGAGACAACTCTATACTGATATTGAAGAGTAACTGTTATAAGAGGGAGACAACTCTATACTGATATTGAAGAGTAACTGTTATAAGAGGGAGACAACTTTATACTGATATTAAAGAGTAACTGTTATAAGAGGGAGACAACTTTATACTGATATTAAAGAGTAACTGTTATAAGAGGGAGACAACTCTATACCGATATTGAAGAGTAATTGTTATAAGAGGGAGACAACTCTGTAAAGATGGTGAAGAGTAACTATTATAAGAGGGAGACAACTTTATACTGATATTAAAGAGTAACTGTTATAAGAGGGAGACAACTCTATATTGATATTAAAGAGTAACTGTTATAAGAGGGAGACAACTCTGTAAAGATGGTGAAGAGTAACTGTTATAAGAGGGAGACAACTCTGTAAAGATGGTGAAGAGTAACTGTTGTAAGAGGGGACAACTTTATACTGATATTCATCAACATTGAATTTATGTCAGAAAAGGCAGACAACTCTGCAGTAACAATCATCAAGTAAATTTCTCTTAGATGTGAAATACCAGAAGAAGGGTTAGACTATCCTTAACAGAAATAAGAAATAAATGTCTCAGGATCACTTTTTTACTTATGTTAAAGTCAAATTTAATGCTGATGTTAACTTTTTACACACATCATTCTTATTTACTTATTATCCCAAGAAGAATTTTGATTTGCATTCTTATCTGCAGACCTGATACCAGGAAATGGATATATAGAACTCGAAATTTAAAACTCAAACAATGTTACTGAGACAGAACATATAACACAGGAATTAAATTCAATTTCAACAAGGTGGTAAAAAAAATCTTTTCTTAATTTTTTTCTTTTCAAAGAGTTTAAACTGCTGTATAAAAACTTGAGAATGAAGCTGGAAATGAAAGTAGGACTAAATATATAAACTGTTCACAGGAAATAAACAGGTCCGGCACAATCTCTTGATTTAGCTATATAGCTTGATTTAGCTATATAGCTTTATTAAGCTGTTCAGAATAGCTTAATTTAGCTATTTTATCACACTTTTTTCTTAAATGTGTTATTTTCTCAGCATGCACAAAAAGTCGCACCTTGGTGCAGTGATAATATTCAACCTTGAACTCTTCTGGAAATAATGCATGTAAAAATCAATCATCAAGTTGGGTCTCCTTAAAAGACTTTGTACTCAAAGTTCTAAATGTTTTGGGGCTATATAAAGCAATTGATACAGTTACTTCATTGAAATTATAAAAGAGGCCAATTATGGTCAACAAGATAATTGATTGGTATAATTCAGTACAATGAGAAGCAATCATACTTATCCACGCCTCAGTGCACACAAGGTTGTGTACAGTTACTCAAACAATGGAAATTCATCTTTTGCTTAAAAGTATTCAAATGCTGCAATGTTAGAATTATCTTTGATTTTGGTTGTTGTTTTGATAGCCCATAGTACATTATGAATAGTCTAATACTTGCGACTTTTTGTCTTTTTCTTACAAAAAACATTTTTAGGAAAAACTGCACATAAATAGCTTTATCAAGCTATTTTGAATAGCTTAAT